AAAAAAATGTGAAGAAAATTTACATTCCAAATAAGTCTGATATAAACAAAAAAAAAAAAAAATCTAAGAACATAACTTGCTCACACTAAATAAATGGTCCCATCAAGGCAATAAGAGCTCGAGGTACTAAATATTCAGCAAAGCTCCTCCTGCTCTTGCTTATTCCTTCTTGACCTGGTCATCTCATCATGCAAAAAGTATGTCAACGTTAATCTCCATAAAATACCAACCCAGATTACATACCATGCCTTCCTCACTGACTTGTAATACCCGAACCAGGCATGTTGTTTGAATAGATCCAAAAATGAGTTAGGGAACTCAGAAAGTAAACCCCACCATGCATAACATCTCATTAAAAGTCTATAGGCAACTGACAATTAAGGAATAAATGGCTTGATTCTTCTAAAGCTAATTCACAAAGCCCACAAGTAGCAAAAGCATAAACTCCTCTTTTAGGTCTTTGGTAGGAATTCCATATAGAATGAACATTATGAACATGATAATGAAATACAGACCTTACCTAAAAATTGACATCACCGGCTGCAAACCATTTTTTTGTAATTATATTACCTTTAAGAAGAGAGTAAAACCTGCCAAACAGCCAAACAGCTATGTTGTTAGACCTTACAGAACTGTTCAAGAACGCTGTTGCAGAACTGGTAGGATGTGGAATCGCCATAGCCACCCTACAATTCTCGCCGGCAGTCACTTACAGTCAAGGCTGGTGTCAACATCGTTGCTGCTCTGCGTATCCTCTCTGGAGGTTGCGATTTCTTCAACTGTTGGGAATCTTGCTCTGGAAGATTGAATATCAGAACACTTCTTCTTATCCTTTTTGAAGAAAATAACGGAAGAAGCGCCTTATCCATCTCAATCGACTGCAGAAAAGAAGATTCCGATAAAGAATACAACCCCGACGAACCCAACTGTAATTTCTAGAACCCTTTTTCATTTCCTGTTTCAAGAATCGAAATTGATTGAAATCCCCCATAGAATCTAATTCAATTTCTTGGGTTTTTCTCTTGAAGTTGAAGTGTCTCCCGCCACTCTCAAGGTCATCTGGTTCGACCCATCTCCAGATGCCGATCAAGAAACCCAAGACGGTAAATGTCGGACTGGCCTTTCGACTTCTCGGAGAAATTAAAGCTTGCCCATTTACTCCTATTCTTTTTCTTTGTTAAACCAGACTACTGCGAGATGAGTCTTCACGTCGGCGAGTTAAAAGGAGAAAATGAGCTTCTGAAATATGATGAATCAGAGTATCTGTTGATGGTCGGAATTTGACCGACGGGGTTTGATACACTGTTCTCGAAGCTGAAAGAAATCAAGGCAGAGAATAACCGTCCATGTAATTTTCGTAACTTCCATTTTATTTAATTAGTTATTCTAAGTTATCGCTTAATTTTTAATTCAAGTGACGTCGTTTTAATGGCTTTTTACGTAGATGCCATAAACAATTCGAGTTTGGGCTTCCGTTTATGCTGCCAGGGTTGGGTCCATAAAGAGGTATACTTCAGTCCAATTCCTATCTTGTTTAGATTTGGTTAAAGTACCATTTTGGTCCCTCAACGTTTCATTTTGGTATCAAAATTGTCCTTAAACTTCAAAAAGTACCAAAATTATCCTTAAACTTTCATTTTTGTATCAAAATGGTCATTCCATCAGTTAAATGTACAGGTGGCATGTTAAATTATCACAAAATCACTTAATTTTTTAAATGTTAATGACGTGTAAATCCAACAAGAAAAACTCGCATTTTTTAATCAGTTAATATATTAAAAAATAAAATTACTTAAATGCCCTCATCCTCATCATCCAACCTTTCTTTCTTCTCTTTCTCCTACACCT